AATTTTTTTATTGTTTTTGTAAAGTATGAGATCCAGCAGTATGTATTTCAAATTTTCAAGAGGAGTGTACCCATTGATCTTAAATTCAATTGAGGGTTTTGCATTGTTTAAGTAGACATTTACGACATGCCAAATGATGTTCATTCTGATGTTCATTTTAGTATGAAACATTGAGAAAAGGGGCCCATATTTATAGTAGTTATAGATAATTATGGACCTCATAAATTATATCTTGTACCATGGGTTGTTTTGAAAATGCATCTTCGGTACCACCCTGTTATCTTAATCCGGAGATGTATTTCCGGAACTACTCAGAACATAATGAATGCATAATTTTTTTGGCAAACTTCAAAATGTATATATTAGACATCATTAACATTAATACAATATTACATATAATAAATTGATAATGAAAAACTAAAATGAACCGAAATACTTATCTCCGGATAAATCTATAACTATGGATGGTACGCTTTTTTATTTTTGCTCATTTGATTCTCTTTCAATCTCACTCAATTTGGTGAACTCTTGCATCCTTTCAACAAAATGATTCGGCCAAGTCTTCGCTTTAGTTGTTGAATGAGTTATCCACTTTGGTGGTGTAAGTGGTATAGGGCATCCCAATTTTAAATAAACTTGAACAAAATACCGCGAATTTGAAATCCACCCAACACACATAATACGATCATTTGGATTTTGAGGTGGTGCAGTGCGCAGTGGAAAAAAATGTTAATGAGAAACTGTATCTTGTAAGACCAATACACACTCTATCATATACATTTGCTATGAGATGACACATTTCAGGAAAGTGCATCCATTTATCTTTCGGTCTAGGTCCACTAACGCAAGGAACTAGAGAGTGATAAATTGCTTCTAAATTTTCTTTTTTCCCGTATAGGATTCTTTATGGTTTCAACTCTTGGATAAGTTAATGGAGGATAAATGTGTGATCTTCATCTCTTTTACCGAGCAAAGCAGACACTGCTCGAAATTCACAATTACCATCACCATCTACATTTATGATTCGTTCAATATATTTGTGCATAAAAACCAGTATTTCGTCAATAAATGAGATTTTTTATAGAGGGGGGTGAATGAGGTGGTTTGCTAAAGCGAGATCCTTCGAAAATACTTTTTTGAGATTTCATAGTTGGTGAATCCGGAAAAAGTTTGTTAACATGTTCAAAATATAAAGAAGAATGCATCTTTGAATTGTCACTCGGTGTAGTTTTGACCTTCTTTGGAGCATCTCTTTTTACCGGTTGAGAGGGTGGTTTCAAGTCTGTGATTTCCGGATATGAAATCTTCCTCAATTTCTCTTTGATGTGGAGTTTCATATTGTAAGAACAAGATTTGGTTCTGAAATATTATATTTGAGTTTTGATGATAACAAATGAATATGTTTGTATGAACAATTTTGATACTCTAATGTTTGTTATTGTTGAGTATTTAACAAACACGTTCTGCTTCTGATGGATGGCATGGCCAAGACATTAGAAGAGAATTGATTCCACTTCTACGCTATACAAGTTCTGTTGAACAGTAGCAAGACACTCTAGAAGGCTCTGAAGTGTAAGCTCTGATATTTGTCTAAAGAAACAAGTCAGAAGATCTGAAGACAGAAGTTTCTACTTACGTCCAGATGCTAAAGACTCAAGCTTCTAAAGATAATATGTTCCAAAGAATCAAAGTTAGAAGATCGGATGACAAAGTTTCTACTGAAGTCCAGATGCTAAAGACTTGTGTTTATAATAACAAGGTTCTAAAGATAAGAGTTCTGAAGACCAAGTGCTAAAGACTCTAAAGGAAAAAGTTCTAAAGATTCTAAAGACTTTAAGTTATAAAGACCCAATGTTCCAAGAAAAGGTTCTCACAACCAAGTGCTAAAGACTCTGAAGACGCTGTTCTGTAGACTCTGAAGACTTGAAGTTCTAATGACCATGTGTTATATTCTCCCTTTTAAACTCATGCTCGCAGAAGCCTCTAAAGTGCAGAAAGAAGAAGATAATGTTAACGTGGTACAAATAGTACATGGTACAATCAACGTTTCATTCTACTATCATGAAAGGACGGACGCGTCGCACAATCTTGTCCTCTACGTTATTGTTCAAGCTGTCAATATTGCTGGAAATCTCAAGAGTATCCCTCAATGGATATATTATTTTATTGGATATATAAAGACTTGAAGACTAAGAGAGAAAGTTGTTAATTCACTGAATATTCACGCGCAAACGATGTTCATAGCTTTCACATTCTTAAGTTTGTTCATAGAATAGTTTACATATTCAGCTTTTTAGAAGCAATACTCTTGTAAACAAAACTTGTATTCAAACAGTTGTTTAATTGTCCTTAAGGGATCGGGTAGGTGTGTATTCTTAAGAAATCTAGAGCTTGCGAGTTTTAGAAATTGTTAGTCATTTGCGGGTAGCTTGTGCATTGTAATAATCAGATTGATTATTGTTTGATATTCCTTAAGGGACCGAGTAGGTCTAAATCCTTAAGAAGTCTAGGCTTGCAAGTCTTAGAGGTTATTAGTCACTTGCGGGTAGCTTGTGCAAATTGTAATCAGTTTGGCTATAGTGAATTAAATTATCGATTGAGTGAGGTGAAATCACTTTGACGGGTGGACTAGACTAGCTTGATAATTTTCAAGTGAACTAGTATAAACATACATTGTTCTTTACTTCCTGTTCTTACTTATTGTTATTATCAAGAGTGAAGGGAAAAGTATTTTAACTTAAAGGGAAATATTTTTAAAAGAATAGTTTTATTTTAAAAACTCAATTCAACCCCCCCCCCTCTTTATTGTGTTTTTCACGCCTTCAATTGGTATCAGAGCTCCGGTTCTGAGGAGATAAAAAGTTTGAATTTTTATCAACACTTAACAATGTCCAATACCGATCCAGTATGTGTGAAAAACCAATGGCTACATCTACTTCCAATGTTGATAATAGGGATAATGATAGAGATCACTATAGTTCAAAATCCTCAATGTTTGATGGGGAGAAATTTGACTATTGGAAGGATAGAATAGAAAGTTACTTTCTAGCATATGACTTGGATCTATGGGACTTGATAGTTGATGACTACACTCATCCAGTAGATGATAAAGGTCATAAGATTGCAAGAAGTGCAATGACGAAAGCACAGAAGAAAGTATGCAGAAATCACTACAAAGCAAGAACCATTCTTCTAAGTGCTATCTCATATAATGAATATGAGAAAATCACAGATAGAGAGACTGCAAAGTCTATTTTTGATTCTCTTCATATGACACATGAAGGCAACACACAAGTAAAAGAAACAAAGGCTCTGGCCTTAATTCAAAAGTATGAAGCATTCAAGATGGATGACGATGAATCTGTGAAAATAATATTTTCAAGATTTCAGACTCTTGTGGCAGGACTTAAGGTTCTGAATAAAGGTTACTCCACTGCAGATCATGTTAAAAAGATTATCAGAATTCTGCCTGTCAAATAGAGACCAATGGTTTGAACAACACCTCTCTTGAGGAGCTGATTAGCTCTTTAAGAAGTCATGAGATTAGCTGGAACAAGATGAACCTCAGAAGAGGGTAAAATAAGTTGCTCTAAAGTCTACTTCTGAGAAAACCAAGGCTTATAAGCTAAGGAAGAATCTGAAGAAGATTCAGATGATGATGAACTCTATTTGATATCCAGAAGAATAAGTCAAATATGGAACACAGACAAAGCAAGTTCGGAGGTCAAAGAAGGACATGTGGAAGAGGTGAATCCATTTTCGGTCAGAGAAATGCTTCGGGAAAAGAAGTTACTTGCTTTGAATGCAACGAGCATGGACATTACAAAAATGATTGTTCAAAGCTTAAGAAAGACAAGAAGCCTAACAAGGCTTACAAAGCCAAGAAGGGTCTCATGACAACATGGGATGATTCAGAATCAGAAGATGAAGATTCTGATGAAGAACATGCAAACACGGCATTCATGGCCAACACCAGCAAGGGAGAAGCAGCATCAGAAGACAAACTGACAATTAATTATGAGTCAGACTTTGATGACGACAAAGAGGTACTTTATTCTCTATCTCGTTCTGAACTTGAAATTGGTTTATATAAATTAATGAAAAAGTAGCAATCTCTTCTAAGTAAACACAAAATCTTGAAAAAGAATTTTGTAGCTACTTCTAAAAACACAACTATAGATGAGCAAAGTATTTTTGACTTAAATGAAAAACTATTTGTTTTACAAAAATCAAACATTATTCTGAAAAGTAAAGTGTCTAGATTAGAAGAGATTTTCTCTAACACATCTGTTACTGACGAAGTAATCAGATATGATAGAGCTTTTCAACACGTCCTTACTAAAAGCATAAATAGAAGTAAAATGGCTTCAATAATCTATGGTATTAGTAGAAATGGAAGCAGAGGCATTGTTTGGCCTAATTCTTCTCAACTTCTGCTTTACATGAGGGCATTGTGGTCGGAGTGCCAACTTATGTTCAACTATATCTATGTTTAAATCTGACATATCTTAGTATGACCATGCAAACACGTTCACATATTCTTGCAAGGGTTTGACAAACTTTTCTCATTCACTTTCTTTCCGAGATACTCCAATCTTGACCTCCTTTCTTTCGTGCTCGTGCTCACTTTCCAAGTTAATTACTTCTAACGACTCTTGATGCAGCTATATCATTTTAGACCCGTGCTCTAACAAGCTTGTCAATTTCTCAAGAAGTTCACAATCATCCTCACAATCTTCCTCAGCGTGATTAATGAGAAATTCAAAGTTATGTGGAATTATAACGGTGTTGTTTTCAATGGATTCATTTATGGATCTGCATGATTTAATGATTATTTCTTTAAGGAAAAGAAGATAAAAGGAAGAAAAAAAATGTGTAAGAAATTGCCATTTTCTTAATATAGTAAAAGCGAATAGAAAAAGATTATTGAGATAACAAAATGTATTTTACTAATGATGATTAAACATCTGAAAACAAAGGGGTGCCCTACAAAGAGATCCTTAAGCCCTGGGTGGGAAGAAAAAAACCATAGGTTCAGTGACCGTCCAGTTGTTAAGAGTTGTATTTGGAGCACGACGGTGCACGAAACATGGTGCTTCTTCCCCACTGGGGGCCAATTCCAAGCCTTGAGCCCCAAAGGAAAGATCATGGACTATTTGTTCTGTGGCCAAGCCTTGAGCCCCAAAGGAAAGATCATGGACTATTTGTTCTGTGGCCAAGCCTTGAGCCCCAAAGGAAAGATCATGGACTATTTTTTCTGTCGGCCTTGTCTGAAGCTCTTTCTTCATTGCCACAATAGAAGCTTCCTTTAGCAAGAGAAAGCATAACAGAAAAACGTTAGAGCAGAACACGTCTTAAACACAGCAGACTAGAAACATAAGCAGACTACATTAAAACTGTTTATTTTTTGAGTTAGGAAAGACTTTATTTAAGGATTTATGACACCAAACACCTAACACACAAGAAAAAACGCTGTCGTGATTTTTGCATCTCAAGTAAGGGCAACAAACAAACTCTTATCAGAGATAATATTAAGGGAGAAATTATGGGCACATGTCAATAGATCTATACTTGCTATGAAGACAGATGGAGTGATATTGGGAACTCAAAAGACCTAAAATTGTTTTTTATTGATTTGAAAAAGTCGTATAACAAAGTATCCTGCGAAGTGTTTTCAAAAACAATGGTCGGATCAAAATAGATAAAGGAAAATAAAGAGGCGTGACTTAATATATAATGTATTGAAAAATTTGAAGAATTCCATCTTAAAAAATAATTCGGAAACAGAAAGGTCACCTTTTCATTGAGCATTGCAGTAAATTTCTTCACGTCATTAATGTGTTCTTCCCGTTCATTTGATAAGGTTGTTTCAATATTGTGTAGCTTCATGTTCAACTCGGAGATTAACTTCTCTTTGGCAATTAAAGAGTTCTCAAGTGGATTATTTGAATCTGAATTATCACTGCAAAAACATAAACAGTAACGTAAGACTATTGCCCAATTACAGAAGAAGAAAAAAAAAGATCGGTGTGGTATTAATGAGAAGTGTGCATATATAGATAGGAAGGCAGATGGACAGAAACAAGTTGACTACCCTTATACCACTGAAAGTTTTATGTATGGTATGTTCATCACATGAAGAATAATTATAAGTCTTCTAACGAGTATCATAGGGGCATTAAGAACTCTAAGTAAAAACGGAAAAAGACAAGGACTAACTTACCTCTTCTTATTTCCAGAATCTTCATTTGCTGTTACTAACTGAGATCTAAGTACTCCCTGCATGTACAACAAAGCATCAATAAAAGTCATCAGCAACTTGGGACAGGATTATCTATTTCACTCAATTAGGGGGACAAAAACATGTAATATTGTTTCTATTACTACTAACTTTGCCTCCTGATATAAGAACCCTTTTAACGAATTCATAAAAATTAACATGGATAATTTAGTTAGCGACATCAAATTTGTTTAAAGAATTGTATTATATATCAAAATTAACCTTTAAATTATTGGGACTCATCAAGCTCACTCTTTAAATATCTTACTACAAAGTAAAGGGAATAATCGAAAACCCAGTTCATTAGTTGACACTTCATAAACGACGTCATCCCATTAGGAATTACTAAGAGGGATTTTTTTACATCTGCTTAAGCTGCCAAGACCTTCTCCAGCAATTTTTTTGCAGTTTTTATTTTCACAAAATTGTTCCCGTGTTACTTATTTCCCTTTGGCTTGATATTCATCAGTGCATTTCTTATGTGTTGGGATTGATCGTAGTAGCAGGAACAAATATTGTGTTTTTTCTCACTTTTCAGGATAAAAGTAACAAATTGTTGTAACTCAAATAGTAGCTGATATGGAGCAAAAACAGTAGGCCAATAATATTTCATCAAGGCTGGAAAAAATGGAGAGCAAGCAAAAAAACTTAAAAGAGAAAAAGAATCAAACAATAAAACCTCTCACACATGAAGATAACAATACATTTGAAATCATATAGAAGTTTGTGAATCACACCTTCTCTCTCTCCAAACCAAGAAGCATTGTTTGTGATCGGTCTACTTCATCCATCAGCAGATTGGCCTCAGCTTGCTTAGCTGCCCTCTCTTCCACTGAAATTATCATTACCGTGAGATCATTTTCAATATAGAAAATTCTTTGCGATTCATAATTTCAAAATGAAGAAAGAAAAGGCATAGTGCTGAAGTCATATTGCATTTGTAATATATATATAATTGATGTTACAGATTCAAGCAACATGTGTATGCCCAGATTTGAAAAATATTTAATTACCAGACTGAGCACAGAGTTCAAACAACTGGTTTTGTGCAAGTTCATGTAATTTCTTTATATTTGAAACACCTTCTTTAGCGCTCTGCAGCTGGTCTTGTAGCAGTTGTTCCCTGAAAACAATAAAGGAATCAATAGTCTTGGTAAGCAATAAAAAGGTAGAGATGGATGGTTCCAATACTGGAGTCAATGTATAAAGCTAGATCGGCAAACAAGTAATATATAAATTCAATATTCTTGTGCAGTACCCATGAAAATACCGTTCTTTTAAAATTTCCAATGTTTTCTGGATCTCCTCTGCTAGATTGCGATGCTTAATCTCCACAATTTCTTTTACTTTCTCTTCCATCTGATATGAGTTTAAATTCCAAGAGAAATCAGTGGCTCAATCTTCAGAAATGAATCAGAGACTATGATATTATGCAATAGTATACCCCATAACAAAAGTATTTACAACCTGCTGCTCTAAATTCCTGCTTCGCTCTTCAAGTCTTCGTGTTGTGGTCGGCTGATTCTTCAAGTAAGCCGCCTCTGCTCTAAATTCCTCAAGCTCAACTTTCATTTTCCGGTTCTCAATTTCTAGCTCAGACAACGTGAGATCTTGTTCCTATACAAAGAAATATATGAAAAATGAACAAGCAACTAGCTTTCCATAAGCACGCAAGTAGATGTAAGCAGATGCACAGAAGTTTCATATATATAACTGGCCAAGCATGCGAAGAGGTAAACTCTTGGAAACTAATATAAGGAACCTAAACAAAGGTCTATAATAATGTAAAGCCACTTACATCTAGCCATTAACTGGAGTAAGTAGATAACCTATAAACAAATAGAGGACAGATAATGTTTAGGAGAAAGACATCATAAGATTTGAGAAACATAACTTCCCTATATCACTTTCAGGATGATCACAAGTTTCACGCGAGGTATATCTGATAGTTTTACTGGACCTGTACATATGTGGCTGGCAAGGTGTTGGTGCAAGAATAGAAATCATTCATCATTAGGGTGGCAAGAAGCTGAGGTAAGACATATGGCACTGTACACGCTTATTAAGCAGGGATTCTTGCAATGGTTATATGGAACTTAATGGTCACACCCGTGATACATCTAAATGGCACATGAAACATATTAAAATGTTGGCATTCATTAATATGACCATCAGTAAATTCCCCTCAATGTGAGAAATGTACATTCATACACATCTCGTGCCAACCATGTATACGCAATACACGATGTTTTTAAATGTACTACTATAATGAACACGAACATACACAAAAATGCATTAAAATCGACTGGTATATTTTTAATACAATTTGGTTCATGGAGAATTTTATGTAGTGCTGGAACTCACAGCAACTGAGGCAAGAGCTGGATAAGGATCGGGGGCTTCATACAGCTTTTGGTAGATGTTAAGAAAAGCATTCTCCCCAAACTTTGCTCTTTTAGTAAGATTATCAACCTCTTCCTGGTACCCCTTCAGCAAGGCATTAAACAAACTTGACTTATCCTCAGGCGAAGCTTTCTTGAAATCTGTTTGCAGCATAGTTTGTGATCTTTCAGGCATATTAAGTAGCTCAAATAGTAAAATAGTTAAAATATTATAACAGATGTAACAGAAATGGAGAGTACGGAAAAGAACATCACAGCTAATGATAACCATATGGTTCCAAATTTTTAAACTCAGATGTTTTTATAATTGGGATTGAGTGAATGACAAAGTATCCCTCATGTGTATATTTTAACCATGATTTGAAAATAGTAGGGAAGGTATGCATACTTCTAGTGCTCTCTGCAAGCTTCCGCCTGATTTTCTGACTGCTTCCCTGGTTTTCTGCAATTTGAAGCTCTTGTTCATCTAACACAGATTTCTCCTTCTCTAAGTCAAAATCTGAAAAGGAGAAGATAAAATCATTACACTTATAAGATTTCCCTTCTGATTTTGTTAGTACAGAAAACTTATTCATATATTTAGACTATTTACCAAATTAGGCTAAAACATAATATGATAAACAAAAATTTGGCATAGCATTTTTGCATTCACTATGATTTTAAATTCTAACAAAAGAACAGCATTCATTTTAGATAATACAGTGACATCAAGGAAAATTATTGTTGAAATTGTGTAGCCTATTAATCGGTACCTACTGCTATCCTTCTAATACTATCTCTGAATTAAAAAACATGAAATGGAAATAACTCAAGCATTCAACAAAGGAAGTTATTCTCGTATGAACAGTGTATCTATCAGAATTCAATATTTCAATTAATTCAATAAAAACATGTATACCTATTTCATGAAAAAAAAATCCTGCAAAATCGGATGGAGTGGAGCAGTATGGGATGAAATGGAGCAGTATTCAATTGTTTGGATCATTTAAAATCGGATGGGGCAGAGCAGAATGTGTTGGAATAATATAGCAAGTGTGAGTAAGTGGAGAAATAGTCTCACATTGGATAGAAATGTGGAGACTTATATATATATATATATATATATATATATATATATATATATATATATATATATATATATATATATATATATATATATATATATATATATATATATATATATATATATATATATATATATATATATATATATATATATATATAAGTGGGAGAACCCACTCACCTATCACCTTAGGGTTTTAGGTGGAGAAGTGGTGTATCTCACGAAAAGTGTTTGTTCCTGCACTATGCATTAATGCTCTTAGTATCTCCCTGATTGTGGAGACTTAAGCATATATAAATGAGAGAACTCACTCATCTATCACCTTAAGATTTTAGGTGGAGAAGTGGTTTGTCTCTCACAAAAAAGTGCTTGATCCTTTCATTTTATGATATCCAAACACAGTTAGTAATTTTTTACTCGATAATTAATTCCATTCAATTTAATCCAATCAAACTCTCCTTGGTTCTAAGTTGAAGTGTTCCAAACATGACGTAAAAGTGATTCAATCATTTTCTACAAAATGTGGATTTCTCCCAAACAAGAACAAATTCTAATATAGTTACGCCATTGAAATTGGTAGATTATACATAAAGATGAAATGAATGGAACCTTTCCAGAAGGCGGAGACGACGGAGATCGGAGAATTTGTGTTGTCCCTCTCCGATACACTTGGCGGAGACTCCATTTTTGTCACCTTGAATATCGAAATCGACTTTGTGAGAGAAATTATATCTATCAGCATCACCCACTATCTATAATATAAGAAATTATAGAAAACAAGTGTCCCTGAAAAATCCAAAACTGCCCTTTGTTTAAAATCTTACAAATCATGTTTTGGGGGTTAATTATGGATCTAAATATTACTTTTCTTTAACTAATCCTTCGTTCGCAATGATTTCGTAAGACGATATAAATTAAATAAATGTTATATAATTATAGTTAAAAATATTAAATAAATATTATATAATTATAGTTAAAAAATATTTATAAAAATATATATGGAAAAGAAAATATTTTAAGGATGATTGACACATATATTTTAATTTAATTTATTAAATTATAATAGTGGTCAGGATATATATAAAAATTAAGTTGAAAAATTGAATATATATATATATATATATATATATATATATATATATATATATATATATATATATATATATATATATATATATATATATATATATATATATATATATATATATATATATATATATATATATATATATATATATATATATATATATATATATATAATATATATATATATAAAATATAATAATCTAATCGTGCGTTATAAATAATAAATAAATATAGTATAATAATAATTAAAAAATATATATAAATTAAATAATATTGATTCGTTAAAAATGTGTATTTTAATAGAAAAATTAAAAAATAATAATTAAGTAATCACAATATTATTATAAATAATAAGTAAATATAATATAATAATAATTAAAAATATATATATAATATATATAAATTAAGATGTATAACAAAATTATGTTAATTAAATTAAATATCAAATTAAAAAAATATAATCCAAAGAAAAATATAGTATAAATATCTAATAAATATATAAATTAAATAATACAAAAACCTAATCATCAACCTATACTTTAGTTATAGTAAATAAATGTAGACAGATCAATAAATTAAAATAATATTAGAGATAATTAATTATAATTCTTATTTATAAGCTAAATATTTTTATATAAGGTGCATCTGTTTTCATATTTATTTGACAAATGCGCTTACAATTCAATCAAAATCGTTATACAAATGCAAGAGCCACATATAATTATAAATAATAGGTAAAAATAATGAAAGGTTTGAAATTGCTAATTTTAAAAGACGCGTAATATGCTGCACATAATTGCTAATTAGGATGTAAAGCACATTCAATAGTTATGGTAATATTTTTTAATTCATGACTATTGATATTATGTAGAATATTAATTATTAATATCTAGATTTGTGATAGCAACTTAATAATATAAATAATTTTATATTATTTTTATTTATTAATATGATAGAAGTTTTCAATTGCCAATTAAAAAGCATTTTAATCAAGTTTTTTAGGGCTATTAAAAAGCAATTGATTAATAAATGGATTTAATAGAGAAAAGTTTATGCATCAACTTGTAATTAATCTGGATATAAAAGACAGAAATTAATTTTATAAAAAAACTTTTTAATTGGATTTATACATGAATATAAGTATATGACCGCAATTGAATACTACTTTAAATACTTAAAAATTTGATTTTCCGAATAATTTTTGAAAGATTTATTTCGATTTTAAAATATTAACCATAATATTGTAAAATTAATAATAAAACATGTGCATATGTTATTGTAAAAAATAAATAATTTTATTGCACATGTAAATACTCATTAATAATTATTAATATTAATATATTTTAATTTTTATAATATAGCCTAATACTGTACACCTAATTTTTCAATATTGCTTTGAATAATTTTTCTATTTTTTTAATATTTTGATATTGTAGTGCATATAATACATGATTTAAGGATGAAGGAATTTGACACGATAATATAACTAACAGACATATAATTGCCACAACATAAAGTCATCAAATATTTAATTTATTCATCTTTCTAATAAATATTTAATTTATAATAAAATATATTAAATAAAATCTATGCAATGGAAATGCATAGTATAAATTAAAAATAAAAATTATTTAATATTATATTAAATAAATTATTTATGCAATGAAAAATATAAATTAAAATAAATTTTTTTATTTGATTTTACACTTTATCAGCTTAAAATTCTATGTTATGAAATAAAAAAAATAAAAAAATAAATTAAATAATAGAAAAAATCAAGTAATTAACATATATTTTGATTATAGTAAATTTAAATAGATCAATCAATTGAAATAATATTAGAGGTAATTAATTATTATTATTCATTACAATTTAAACTCAAAAAAATATAATTATTACTTAAAAATAAAAAACTAATAAAAAATCAAAGTAATTTAATTATTATGTATCACTATCTACAATTGTTTAGGACTCATACCCCATATTATGTTTTATTTTTCATCTTCTCGGTTTTAACATTGCAAAAATTTGTTTTAGTATTAATTTTTAGTTTTATCCTTGTTCTTATTGCAAATCTCTTAAATAATATGATCATATTTTGTTTTAGTTTATTTCTTATTTATTATATTGAATTATATTATAACTTGTAATTACCCGTTACTCTATGATGCTATATTGCATCTTCGCCATTTAAAATCTATAATGGTGGAAATTTAATTATTATTTTTTGAATAAGTTAAGAAATTAAATTAAAACATTGTCTAAGCTAAGAGTTTATAGAGATAAATAAATACATACAAAAAATTATAATAAGCTGCTTAAAATTTGCAGTGAAATAAAAGCTAAATCATTTATCTATAATTATGGAAAATATTAACCATTAATTATATAAATCCAAAAAATATTAAATTGAAATCACAGATAAAAATACAATAACTATTTAGAAAGTCTCAAAGATATTTAGGACTATTGAACACTTCTTGCAAAAACAAATTAAAAACTAAAAACAATTGAGAATGTTGAAAACTTCTTAAGTTAATCTTCACTTTTTTTACCTGAAAATTGAAAAGCTTCATATATTAAAATTAGATTAGCAGAAAATTTGCAGTAAAATAAGAGTTAAATCAATTATGTATGGTTATGGAAAATATTAACTATTAATCCTATAAATTCATAAAATATTGAATTAAAATGATAAAAAGATAAATGTTATTTTTTCTTCTTCATGCTTGCTAAAATCAACTCTTTCTCTCATGTCACTTCAATACTACATATTTTCTCTCAATTTTCCCACAGCACTTATTTTGAATTTTGATTTTCCTCTTTATTCACTTGCTATAAAAATATATGAATGTATCTTCTATATCGTCACTTTTTCCCCTCTTCATTCACTTGCTATAAAAATAGATCAATATATCTCCTCTATCTTAACTTTTTCTTTGAAGAATTTCTTCCGAAGAATACATATAAATAAAAAGGTTATTTCTAATTTGTTTTCTGATTTATTCATATTTCAAATTTATATTTAAAAGAGTGTAAGATTTTTTACATTTTCCTCTTCTTCAAATATATTATTCATTTGCATTTAAGAAAAAGAGTAAATGCATATCTGTTGTTTGCTCATAGTTGAGTATTTAGTTAATATAGCTATAATAATATATTTTGTTTTTTTTCACAGCTTCATGACAAATTCTATAAAGTAGATTAAACATTCATAAATAATATATCTTTTGTGAAATTATAATTTTTTCTATTAATCCATTAAAAACTTTTTTAAAATCATGTGTATTGTGAGGTGATATTAGGAGCATTGATACATAGTGTAAGACTAAACACTTTTGTGAGAGACACACCACTTATCCACCTAAAACCTTAAGGTGATAGGTGAGTGAGCTCTCCCACTTATATATATATATATATATATATATATATATATATATATATATATATATATATATATATATATATATATATATATTATATATATATATATATATATATATATATATATATGCTTAAGTCTCCACATTTCTATCCAATGTAAGACTATTTCTCAACTTACTCACACTTGTTATACTATTCCAACACTTCCCCTCAAGTGTGAGTCTTTGTTCCAACATGGTATCATAGTCTTTGGTTTGAGAAAGGGACCGGAAGAAACTTGTATCGAAATACATCCAAGAAGTGGTGTTCCATTGCAAGATGTCAATGGCGGTACAAGTGAGGGGAGCATTGTGGACTCACACTTGAGGGGGAGTGTGATCGGGACTTTATGAGTCTGTCGGGATACTAACTGTAAATATACAGTTCAGTCGTTCTAGTTTTAAATGATCATCGAACCCACAGAGACTGGGGATCAATCACATACGATCTAATGCTGCAGTTTGTTTAACTAAGCGATGAATATTCGATTTTAGGGGGGAAACAGTTTAATTAAAAATAATAGTAATAATTATACCGGTATGTGATAGTCGGACTTCGGGAATTCGGTGAATCGCTTGGCCTATAAAGTATTTCGGTAAAAACTAATTGTTTAAAAACCTGAGACATACACTCTCGTGTTCATGAAATAAGTTATGCTACTAAACCTAGTGGATGCACTTTAAATTTAATAACACTTTTTGAAAACAATTTGAGTTTAATTAATTTATTAAAACACTCTCGTGTATTTAAAAATTAATGTTTCGTTACCACTATCTGGGTTGAACCCCAACTCTCGCATGCAGGTTCTTGCCTTAATTAATTTCTCACTCTCGTGGCAAAATCGTGTTAATTAACCTCTCACTCTCGTGACAAGGGTAGTTAAATTAATCTTGGAAATTGGAAACCAGAAATTGTTTTGTAAATAAATATTTTTGGCCAAGGTATCACTGAATTCTTTCGGTTCTTAAGAGTCACATACCGGTACGAATAATTTAGCCGGACATAATAGATTTAACAATAATGCAATTCAAAATATAATTCATTAAAATAATTGGCATAATACAAAAATGAATAAATATTAATTGCAATAAAAACCTGGAACTAACGTTGCTATGGTAATCTTGAAATGTTACAATATTCCTTGCAGCTTGATTGAAGTAAGTAAATTGTGTTAAT